GCTGCGCGCGGCCGGCCCGCCCTCCCCTCCCCTGCCCGGCTCGGCCCTGCGGCGCCGGGACATTACGCGCCTGAAAGCGGCGCTTTCCCTTGCGCAGACTGCCACAGGCAAGCTGAACATTTATTTTCAGCTGCATGGGAGTTCTTGTGTTCTGAAGTTCTGGGTAAATACGTGAAGAACGTTGCAGGGAGTTTCACAGCGTTGGGAGGAGCAGTGGCCGGTAACGCAGCGACAGGTAGCCTGACAGAGGCCTGTCGTGACCTGCGAGGTTTTTGTCTTGGAAAAGGCAAGCAAACTAACTCAGTACTGCTTGTGAGCCCATGTCAAGGAAACAGATCACACCTGTTGCTTTTACTCGGCACGGCACCAGCTAAAGAGTAATAAATACTAAACATTTACTACTTTAAAATTAGTATTGCTATGGAAGCATCCCATAGCTGGAAATCAGGTATTTGTCAAACTTGGACCAAAACCCGCTAATTGTTAGTTAAATCTAATATCACCAAATTAGATGTTCTGTCAAAATATGAGTGATTTTCCCGTCTCAGGAAATTCGAGATGCCTGTTCCTGATTTGGTGTAAAATATATGTGTGGTTTTGAATTCTAGACTCAAATGTCCTTTCTTCCTTTTCCTTAAATAAGAATTTCTCACAGTAACCTGACTCACCGGGTGATTTGCTGGAATGGTCTGCTGTTGGGATAATTTCTCAGGAACTCTATGTAAATTGGTTCAGTTGATATTTTAAAAAGGCATAATAACAACATGGTAGGCTCCAGCCCTTTAAATTTTTTCTAAAGGAATTTGAGATCTGCTAGGAGGTTTTAAAATAGGAATAGCAAAAACTGGCTGAAGGCGATTCCAGGTTTTGCCTGTCCTAGAGCTTTCTTTTGTTGCAGATGACAGAAATAATTTCAGGCATATTTAACAAAGCCTTTCCTTGGTCACTCTTGTTTCTTTTCCACATTAGTCACAACCGTATAAGGCATCTAATTCTGCTGCAGAAGAGCACTTTGAAACCAGCCAGTGCTACATTGTCCCATCAACAGGCAGAGTGAATTAACAGCATGAAGAAACGTTTTGCACTGCAATCAAGTAATGATTTCAAGCAGAAATCAATAAGATCAAAGTGCAAGGACATGTTTTTCATCCCAGGCTGTTCTTATTTATAGATAGAGCTCATGTTGACTGTATTGTTACTTGAGTAGAGTCTACTGGAGTAGCATAACTGCTACCTGCTTATGGTTAGCAGAGATTTACAAGTTAGAGGAATAATCATTAGTGTTATTTACTGATGTATATTTGTTATAAGGGGCAAGGATACTAAAAAATCATAGAAATTTGTAGAAAACAACTTGAAAGCTATTGAAAGTTCTTAATTAAGCAGAGAGGAAGCGTTAGCAAAGAATGGTTGTTTCTTCATCTGAATTTTGGTACAGATAACAGAGACATGGGAGCTCATTTGCCAGTAGTGGAAGCATCCAGCTGGAAAATACCCTAAACCAGGACAACAGGCATGCATGTTCACAGTCAGTTGAGAACACTGCTTACACACACTTAATCCTCCTTAAGCTTATTGGATTTAAAGCATTTCTTTTTTTCTGATAGCTTTTTCTTTCCTACTTCTTCCATCTGTGCAACTTCTCTTTATCAGTTTCTGATCCTAAAGGAACATAATTCAGAATGTTTATTAGAGAGAGCAGCTTAATTTTTATGCCACTCCATTTTTCTTCACTCATGGCTAAAGTATTTACTGCAGAAGTTCAACTTAATTCCCAACACCAACTAGATGTATTCAATTCAGTATTTTTTCCTTAAGTAGTTATCTAAACCAATGAAAAGTCACTAAATGAACAAACAGAAAATGAACTTACAGTGACCAGAGAGTGTCTTTCATCAAAATTAAATTACTGGGTGAAGTTGAGTTGAACCAAATTAAGAATATTGATGAAAGGTTTTGAACCAGTTTGGCTAAACTCAGTTTAATGTTTTACCTGAGGTTAGTGATGCAATTTTGAATTTAGACAAAGTCTTAGGTGGTCTAACAACAGTAAAATGTACATGCAAGATCTTCACAGTTTTGCTATAAACAATGCATAACATTCCTTATATTTCTGAATATTAAACCATAACACAGACACCTGTGATTTATTCTCAAATTGCGGTTTGAGCTTAGAGGGCAACTGAGCACCATGCAGCTGCTCACTCCCCCCTTCATCCCCAGCTCTGAGAAGGAGGGAAGCAAAAGACCCAGGAACTAAAGATAAGGACAAGGAGGAATAAGTCCATCCTTTAAGGCAGAAGCAAAAGACAGACTTGTTAGGCAGAGAAAAAAAAAAAAAAAAAAAAGAACATAAATTTAACACAGACACTAACAACAGCATCAGTTAACAGAGAGAGTAAGATGGTGAGAAGCATTAACACATCTTGAAAGCACCTTCCCCCATCCCTCCCTTCTTCCCAGGCCCAGCTTTGCTCCCCATATCTCTATGTCCTCTCCCCCAGAGTTACAAGGGTCAGGGAATGGGGACTAGTCAGTCCTGCCAGTTTTCCACCTCAGGCAACAGAGGAGGGAACTCCTGGCATTCCTGCCCTGTTCCAGCGCAGTCCCCCTCTCACAGGAGACAGTCCCCCACAAACGAGCTCCAACATCTGTCACTCCCAGGGGCGTGTGGGTCACCCCCACGTGTGGCAATCCTCCCAGTGCTGAACTGCAACAGCGGGGGCTTCTTCCCACAGGGTCCCGGCCTTCTTCTGGTGCAGTCACCTGCCCCGGCGTGGGGACCCCACAGCTGCAAATCAGCATCTGCTCCACCGTAGGCCCCCATGGGTGGCAGGGGGCGGCCCTGCCATCTCACCAGGGGTACAGGGGAGTCTCTGCTCTGGCGCACCTCCCCCCTTCTCCTCTGTTCTTCCACTGACTTCGGTGTTCACACAGACGTTCTCCTCACAACTCCCACCACTCCTCCCAGATTCCCCTTCTTAAATACGTTATCACAGAAGTGCAGACACCATCACTAATTGGCCCGGCCTTGGTGCAAAGGCAGGTCAGACTTGGAGCCAGGGGAGCTTCAAGAATTTTCTCACAGGGACCACCATTGTATCCCCCTCCCCTGCTACCCTAAATCCTTGCCACTCACTCAAACGAGGACATACAATACCTTAAAATATATTCTATATATTGTGTCCTGTTCCTGGTTTGCCGGGTGAGAGGTTAGGACTCTTGTTTTAGACACAGTTAAAGGGGTTAAATTAAACAACTGCATGCTAAAGTGTAACTGGATAGACAGCAGTTGTATTCTACTGTGGATATGGGGCTCACTGTGTGGATAGTCTGCCTTTTGTATAGCTAACCACAAGCAGAATGCCTTGTTAGATCTGAACCAGATCATTGTCAGCTCATCAGTAACTCTAATAAATGAAATGCTGTTGTCTCACTTTCAGTGGGGTTTGCTTTACTTTTTGGAAGACACTAAAGATACCCATAGAAGTAGCATTAGACAGGAATAGTCCTGAGCTTAATTGTGACTGATAGTTCTTAGCTATAATCACACACTCTAGGAAAAAGTCATTGCTTCTGTTATCCTGATCTGTTTTATTTTCCAATTGTACTCTACTACCTAAGCCCTATCCCTACTTATTTTTGTTAGGTTTGATTCATAAAAATAGCATTTAAAGTTTTGCAGATGTATTTAGTCATATCCATCTGCATGTACCCTGTGCTTTGGTTTTTCAAACAACCTCTTGGTCTCCCTAACATCTGTTGTGTGAAGCTTTTCATTTCTTTGGGCAAAGACACCACTGTTCCCCTCATTTCAGATTTTCTTCCCCAAAATAAGTTATTATGCCTAATTTCAGCATGGGAAACTTGTATCTATAGTATTGCTTTAACTGCTTAATTAAAGGTAGTACATCACCTGTGCAGTCTAAACTCCTTCCAATGTTCCATAAATAGGAAACATTTTCGTCTTATTTCTCTTTATTCTGGCTTTCTCGCCTGACCTTTGGTTATGAGATTCTGATTTTAAAAAATTAAAAATAATGAACCCTTTTTTTAGAAAAAGGGTTATATTGCTATGTATACAAATTACAGCTTATTTCAAAGTAACTAGGACAGATACAGAATACTGTTGAAGATTTGTACAGGAAATCAGAAGAATGACAAAACTGGCTATTGCCAAGTTACATACACTCAGTCTGAAGTGACTCATTGTGGGAAAGTAATAGCAAGTAAACTGCTGAATTTGCAGAAGAAACCATACTGGGAGCATCCCCTCCTGAAAGAGCCTGCAACAGCCATAAAAAAGCTTTGTCTTTATGAACATTCAGTTATTACAAATGTAAAAGGAATTAGATAAGAGAAAATACAATTTTTTTTTCCCAAGAATCATAGAAAAATTTACAAGTAAGAGCAACATAGTGGAGAACAAAGCAGCTGACAGAAGAATTTCCAGTAATTTATACTGGATGGGCTAATACACCAAGTAGTGAATAGGGAAAGTTGTGCTGAATAATGAGAGCTGTATTCAGCACTGCCCAAATTAGAAATGTGTGTCTATTTCTTTTTTAGAACATAAAACAGAATGTTCTTTTTATGAGAACATGAACATGCAGTTTTAGAGTAAAACTTATGTTTCATTTTAACAGAGTTCCTTCTGTTGTTAACAGCAAGCATTACACAAACTAATTTTCATTTATATAAAACTCAATAACACAAGAAACAACACAGGTTAGTTGTATGGTGTTAGGGGGAGGAAGCTTTTACTGACAGTCCTAAAAGAAAAAACAAAAAACAAAAAACCCCCAAACCTATGTCAAATAGGGACAAAAGGGCAAATTAAAACTTAAAGTGAGGCACATTTATAGGATAGCAGGTAGTCAGTCTTTTGGATTTTGGCTTTTAGACAGCTGAGGCAATATAACTTTGAATTATTCTCTCTGATATAACAGCAATTTAATAACATCTTGAAACAGACTGATTAGATTTGTAAAAAGATACATATTCTGAATTTTCTAACTCAAAATTGCACACAAACACATTGAAACAGAATTCACACCTTAAAGTTACAGGCACCAATGATTTGATTAGAAAAAAGTCTCGGTCTTGTTCTGGTAAATATTTGCTGTGGGGCAGCAGATAATGAAAAAACATATCACCTCTCCAAATAAAGGGGGTTTAGTTTGAACCAGACTAGTAGCAACAAGACAGGTTACCTTGATCCACCCAGGAGTGTTTTATGTGTTAGGATAAGATGCTGAAGTTATGTGTGGTCACAGTGTTCATAGTTCTCTGAAAAAGTGATAATGGTCCCATCCTGAGGATGTGGTACTTGGAAATTATTTTCAAAGAGCTGGCCAGAACAAAAAACAAAAAGAAAAGGTAGGACAAACAAATCAGTGAAGCTACAGTTAAGTCTTCCAGTATTATTATAAAATTTGAATTATGGACTATTAGCTACAATGTCTAATTTCTTAGAAAAGTCTTATTCTATGATTAGCATCTTCATGGTGTTAGTTTTCAGAAGTCACAGCTAACTGGAAGAACTTTACAGATTCACAGTACCTTATTGATAGACTTTTGTCCTGCTTTCCTCATCTGCCTCACAGTGAAGTGCTGTCTTTGCACATACTTTGCTTTGGAAGTGACTTAGTGCTATAGTGTGTTCAAAAAAAAAAACCCTCTTCTTAAAGTCTTCTGGTTTCAGATCTACAGGCATTTTGCTTTGTCTCTTTGATCTCTTCTCTGGTTCTTTCCTTCCAACTTTTGTGTTCTCTGCTGATTTCCTAACTTACAGATATTTTCTGATCTGTTGTTTCTAGTCAGCTAACTAATACTTGTATTTCTGTAACATTCCTCTTCCACAACTATGCCAAAATAAGTAAGATCCCAGGATTTAGTACTACATTGAGTGCTGCACAAACAATTCTGCATTTTTATATCCATATTGCATTCATTGACAACATGGGACCAAAAAAAAAAAAAAAAAAAGTTTGAGCTTTGTCTCAGCACAAGAGAAATTGTTTATTACTAAGCAAGCTCTGAAGATTGACATAGGGCACTTTTCAGACCTAACAGGTAAGAAAGCTCTTTTTACATGGTAGTTGCACATACCAGCTTCTACATTTTGCAGCTCAAACCCATGTAGGTATCAAAAGGATACAGATCACAAAAATGTAGAATCACACACAGAATGGTTTAGGTCAGAAGAGACCTTTCAAAGATCATGCAAGTCCATGCCCCTGCCTGTTCCACTAGCCCAGGTTGCTCAAATCCCTGTCCAGCCTGGCCTTGAACACTGCCAGGGAGGGGGCAGCCACAGCTTCTCTGGGCAACCTCTGCCAGTGACTCACCACCCTCACAGGGAAGAACTTATTCCTTATATCCAATCTAGATGTACCCTATTTCAGTTTAAGTCTGTTGCCCCTTGTCACCACAGAAGCCCTGCTAAAAAGTCTCTCTCCCACTCTTACAAGCTCCCTCCAAGTACTGGAAGGCCTCTATAATGTCTCCCCAGAGCCTTCTCTTCCCCACACTGAACAAGCCCAACTCTCTCAGCCTGTCCTCATAGGAGAGTGTTGGAAGCATGGGAAAAGCAAAACATCAAAAAATCTGTAAAACACACATTTCCTTGACACATGGTGCCTGGAACAAACACAGGACGAGATGGAGATCCAGTTATTTGTGTTGCTGTGGCGCCAAGGAGGAATGTGGAGCAACGTGGAGGCTGCACGGTCCTGTTTTTACTTATCTCAAGGACAGATGTATCTCCTGCTCCTCTCCTTCTCTCAAGGACTGTTTTGCAGTACTCCACCAACCTTGTCTCTTTCATCCTCACATCAAGGAATGTGCTGTGCTGTTACTCAAGAAACAACGGCTTGACCACAGTCTCACCCACTCTACTCACACATACGTACTTAGATAAATACTACCCCGAGTTTGTATCTAACTTGGAGGGACGATAATCTGATACCAAATCAGAGGGACAGATC